CGTTTATTTAGAAAATATCTCGTGGTTCAGCATAGAATTAGGTGGTGCAGAGATGTGATGAAAATTCGTCCAACACTAACAACAGATAACATAATTATTCTTCTGATTTTTGTCCCAGCAGGAGAGAAATGGAACAACAAGGCGTGTTTATTTGTACAATAGACCACGTATTTCCTTGTTTAGGAACTTTAATGAAATCATAATCTGACACTAAGACTGTATTAAAGATCTGTTTCAGATTAGAATGATAAAGAAGCTGGTTCTGAATCCCAAAATACTGTTTAAGGAGAATTAGTATGTCTGATTGTAGTGAGTATTTGCACTGAATTACTGCATAATGAAATAAGAGAAGTGGAGAAAAAGCTTTTTTTCCCCGCCAAGAAGATGGAGTCAATCAGCTTGTGGTTGTGTACCGCTGCACTGTTTTTCCTTTCCTCTGGCTGCTGAATGAGCTACACTGGCAAGTCAGACCTTGCAAGCATCTATTCACTTTATCCACAGTTCTTTGTCAGCAAATGATTAGCTTTCTGATTACCTTGCTCAGAGGATAAATACCGATGTGCTCTGAGCATCTACAAACGAAAGTTTTCATCATATTCTAACCAGAAGGGATGAAAATACTTCAGGTATTGGTCTGTTTGGGGCATCTCTTGATCACTCCGATGCATCCATTAACCTTCTATCTGTAACATAGACCCTTTGACATATTTAAGGTACTTTTGGGTTTTGATCTTAGTATTCTCATCTAGAGAAAAGGAGTGTGTCCTCCCTTCCAGATGTGTTCCTTTATGCTTATCACCATACTGGTTTATCCACAAGCCTTCTGGTAATACCAGCCAGTCTGGAAGCCTCTGAATTTACTGCATATGTAACAAGCAAGTTTGAAATCCTGTTTCACCTTCCAATATGGCTGGTGTTTAATTTCAGAGATATTACAGGAAATATAGTGTCAGCAGTTGAAATTGAACGTGTTTTTTCCACAGAGCTTTTAGTAGGTCTAATTAGAAGTAATGCACCTCTATAGAAATTAATAATTGCAAGTAATTGGTTTTTTTTTTACTATAAATGGAAACATAGTTTTGAATGTTTGTTGACCCATATTGATGGATTTATATTTATTTACAAAATTTATTGGAGTTGATGTGGTTTACCAGAAAAATCTGGTGAAGGAAACGTTTTCAGATGTGCATTTACATTCAGCTACTAAGTGCAACCAAAAAGTGTGTCTCGGTTGTGCATAATTGGAGTAAATATTTTTTCAGGTTTCATTCATTTGGAATCTAGGTTACAATGCTGGATAAAATAATTTAAGAGCTGTTTGAGTATTTTGGACTGGAAAATCTTCTTTTTATTTGTACAGGAAGTATTTCTCAGTTATATGCAATGGCTGGACAAAAGTAACGAAGTTGCAACACTGAATTGAATTAAAGTGACCGGGTCATTCAGGTCTTGTTGAAGGGAGGTTTATAGGGTTTTTTTTAAATGTGGTTCATAAAAGAGTTCTGATTTGCATTTACAGTGACCTTCTAAAACTGTGCCAATTATTCACAGTTAGAGTAAATATTTTTTCAGGTTTCATTCTTTTGGAACTGAGGTTAGAACATTCACTCAAAATATTCAATGGCACCGCTTACTAAACCGGGCACATGTGTGTGGGAGGTAGTAAGAAATGCACTAGAAGCATATGTTCCATGTTCCAGGCAATTTTTATTTTATATTAAAAAAAATGCCAAGCCCCTCAGTAAGAAGGCAGTTGTAACACTGAGAAAAAACATTTGACACTTCCAAGTTTTGGCCTGTTAACTTTTCAGCTGTAAATAGGTACAGTAATTACTTTGGTTCATCAGCAAACTATTAGCCCGCTCTACTAAATCAAGGTTTCATGACTCTGGTGCTGGGTAACACAGCAATGACTACCCCTGGCCATGGATGCGCATGAGGAGAGGTGAGTCTGACTTTCTGATGCGTGCTGGGGAGTTGAAGTGGTGAGTGGGCCACGTGGGGATGCAGGAGGGTGCACTTGCCTGCTCAAACAGCCCTCGCTCCTCCAACATCTGTTTCACACCTTCACAAGGGAAGGGCAGCGGGCTGGAGAGTGGGGATGTTCTGGGTCTGGATTCAGCTGGCATTTGATGTTGCAGTGAGTTAATAATTGTAAGGGATTTTCATAATGGAGTGACTTACATTAGTCTTGAATTGAGTTGGCCCATGGCTTCTTAAAAAGTAGAAAAAAATGCATTTGGGAAAACACACTACCTTACTAATCCATCCCCCCTGTCTGCACATCTGTTCTTTAAATTATGATATCCCCTGCTTTTTGTGGTATTGCCTTTCCTTCTGTATTTTTACCATATCAGAATGAGAGTTAGTCAGCATAAAGTATACATAAAAAATGTCAAGGGGTTTGGAAACACCGGGCTCAGTGCATTGAAGTTTATTCCAAAGTACTGGAATGGTCAGTCTAGTGACAGTAACTTACAGGAGGAATGGTGACTATTCTCTGGAGGAAATAATTTTTACATTTTTTTCTCTGATATCAAAAAATGAAAAAAGTTTGATTTTAACAGTTGTAAAATATTATATGATGTTGCTGTGAAGTTTAGCTAGCTGTTCCAAAAGTTTCATTCAACAAACACCACACTTGACCATGTTCACAATAAAATTGGTTAAAGTGAAGTATCAGAACTTTGGTATTTGTAATTTCAACCTCACATTAAGAGGACTGTTGCTAATTTTTAATAGCTATCCTCATAGATATTTATTAAGGTACTTTAAATTGGGATCAATAGGTAATCAAACTTAACAACTCCTGCTACACAGTAGATAAAGCTATTTTAGAAGCTTTCCAATCATACTGATGTTTCAGATCTGATGACACAGATTAAGTCAGCATTTTCAAACTCACCTAACTTAGTCACCCACAGTGAAATTCTGTCTCCTTTGATTTCGATGTCAGGTTTTCCGTTTCATTGTACAGGATTAAGGTTTCACCTATAGTCTGTATTTAGGCACCTGTCTGTGGTCTGGTTTTTTAGACTTGTCAGACATTCCCCCTAAAGTCAATAGATTAAATATATGTTCAGCATTCCTGGCACCTGGATTAAATTTTGGATGTAATTCTGCAGGTGTTCCATGAAGATAAATTTCTGCATCTGCCCAGATTTAGCAGAAAGGGCTACATTCAAATGCTGACGTTTGCATATTTTAACTAACTCCTCAAAGCTCAACCAATGATCATGTAGGGTGGGGGTTTTTCCCCCGAACTACCCTATACACTATTATTCCATTTTTCTGTAACACCTCTGTCCCTTTGTTACAAGCATTCTAACTTGGCATCTATGTCTTCAGCTTGTGTTAGCATATTACCCAGTATATTACTGCTGCTACCAGTATCACTCCAGCATAGTCTGCCTTCAATTTCACACACACAGATTTAATGGGAATTCTTGTAATGACAAAGATCAATACACTGACATGACCAATTGCAACTCCTTGTATTAACCTCCACAGAACTCTTTTTTTTTTCCTGACATAGACCCTCTCTGTTTTAGAAATGCTCATTTTCTTTTATAGATACCAGAATTGCCAAGTCTAGTCCTTAGTTTTGCTGCAGGAATTCTTGAAGCTCTTTCAGATGTCTATCATGAGCTCTTACAATGTTAATGTAGGTGATCTTCTTATGTGTTAACAGAAATCAGACTGTTATCTATACTGCCTCATCCAAGTACAGCTTGGGAGGAATAGCGTAAATGCCATATTGGAGTTATGTTGATTAGATTTATATCACCTTTGCTATTTTAATACCTCATATGGCAAATGTTAAGTCAGTAAAACTTAGTACATAAATAAAAACATCTGCTTTGTCTGTGACCCTTTGCAGGGTAAATGTTACTGTTGGATCAGCAAAACTGCAGATAGCCAGTCGTTTTGAGAAGTTCATGAATAGGGACAAGCCTTATTTATTTATTTATTTATTTATTTATTTGGTATCAGAGAAAGATTTAGAAATATGGTGTCAAATGATAAAAAAATTATCCAAATGAACACTGAGCCACATGAAGCCCTATCTTCTCCTTAATACTGTACAGTAGCTGTCAGTTATGTTTAGAATAATGCTTCTATTCCAGTTTTCATAACAAAGCTATATTACAGCAAACATAAGTGTTACTTTTATGAATTCTACAGATCTTCACTTAAATCTGTCCTTTTAAAAAATACTGATTTTTCAATTAGATGCTTAAATATATTTGAAATTATAACAACAGAAGCCAGCCTGAAGTACAATAAAAAAATGAAATGTCTGCTTTCAATGCATTTTGCTACATGAACCCACAAGATCAAATACTAACACTGTAAGCATATTTTTAGCACACAGAGAAAAATAATCACATAATGCATACCCAGATGCTTATTGGTAAACTATGCTTTTGAAGGCTCTGAACAAGGGCTGTGATTCCAAAGAGCAGATAGATTCAGCTCCAGCAGCTGCACTAGTTGCTGCCTGAGACGTCTGCCAGAGGTTACCATTCTTCTGCTTCTCCCTCAGCTGCTATGGCTCTCAGCTCACCAGACTAATTCACAGACTAACTCACAGAATAACTCACTGACTACTACAGCACTGCACTTTTTGAGGAGAGAAGAGATGCCCGATGCAGCTCGCCAACCTCTGGCAGGGAAGCAGAGCAGGCAACGGGCACAAGGAGTTAAAACCTCTGGCAGCCAAGGCTAGATCTATCTAGAATTGCAAATCAGAGCCCTAAGATAAAGCTCAGTCAGCTTGAATACGCCTACCACATATTAGTGCAAACCTATGCTCTGTGGCTTGCAGTGGCTTGAAAGGAAAAGCAAACCTTTTAAAAGTCAGGTGCAGCAAAAACGTCTATGTAGAAACTGCCATGAGTTTTTAAGTCAATGAGTTCTGGATTAATAAAACATGCCAACCAAGCCAGATTGTGACCTTCATCGTGTGGGGAAAGTCTTTCCTTCTGGAAATTTCATACTTATACTTTTTTAGGGTTGATTTCTTTCTGGCCATTTCTTATTTTAATGGCCTTTTTGGGGCCACTGACCAGTGGGTTGGTGTTCTTTGTTGATGGTTTTGGGGCTCCGCTCCTACCACTGCGTCCTGCGTTCTGGTTCTTACTGCGGGCCGTTCGCAGCTTTTGTTCTTGCAGTCTCTGTTCCCACCTCTGTGGAAATGAGGAAGACAAAGAGGCTGAGTTGGGGAAGGACATAATCATAAACAATTATGTCTTAATCAAAGCTATGCTGAACCAGTGATACTAATGCTGCTTTTAATGGGTTTGTGCTCTATTCTGCGGGGCCATCGATGTCAGTGTGTTACAGCTGTCTGCAGGGGGAACCTGCCACATGATCTTGGGTGGGAGAATTTCCACGATATCAGCAGATGACAATGACAACTGCACACCTTGTGTGCATGCTGCATGTGAGTGTGCATCTCATGCCTTTTCAGAAAGCCAGGGGAGCTGGCACCATGCCATCAAAAAGACAGGGTCTGCGCACTGGAACTCCTTTGCAAAGCCCTTCTTTGCTGTCTTAACTGAACGTGCTACTTAACTTTTCCTCAGAAAAGTCTGCAGAAAGCAGACTGTCCTTTCATATATTTAAACACACAGCTACAAGGGAAGGTGGTATTTACTTTCTGCTTCTGCTATTCCCTGGGGTGGAGAGCACTGGGCATGAAAGAGCTTACGTTATGACAGACAACAGAGATGACCACTGAAATCACAGTGTTCAGTGTTGCAATGGGATGGTTGTGAATAATGCACCTGCAGCTTTATTCAGCAGCATCCCTGAGAAATTTTGAAAAGCAATGAGATCAATGAGCCCACGAAAGAGAATAGCTGTCTGATTTCCAAACCCAAAAGTGCAGTGGTTAGGAAAGAGGTTAAGTGGTTAGGTGGTCCAAAATATGGAGAGATCCACAACACTGTGGCAGAGACTGCAGTCTTTCACTTCTAGGAACAGAAGTACCTATTTTAAGGAAAGCATGGTAGATAGTAGAACCTGGAAAGAGTCTCACCTCTGCCCTCTATTAATGAACCTCTCTTCTGAAACTCCCAAAGGCAGGGGCTTTGCCCAGTGGTCAGAGCAAGAGAAGTGCTGTCCAGCTTTCCTATTTCATATCTCTGCACTGACCCTGCTGCAACTCAGACACTTGCCCTGGCTAGAGGAGAGGCCAGCCGTGTTGTGGTTATGTTAACAGCTGTCTTCTGTAGTTCACAGACAGCTCAAAACATTCAGTTTAAGTGGTAACTCAAGATAAAAGTTGGATGCAAGTCTTCAGGGATGAATGATGGGCATTAAAATGAAGCCACTGTGATACCTAACTCCATACAGCTATCTTTGTGTCGTCAGGGTCATTATATGTATCTTTATAAAACAAAAAAGGCATTTATGCATGTCCCAGTCAAACATGTTTAAATGAGGATTTAATTTATGAAACTATTAATATCAGAGGGAATGACACATGCTTTGAGAATTATTTTGTTTGGCAGTCATGCATCTATTTGACAGTCTGGAAATGAATGTTCAAACAGGTTTCAAGACACAATTAGAAATGACAAAACAGTGTGAGGAGGCCACTAAAACACACTGTGTGCCCGTAACAGCCTATTAAGTTGACAGCTAAGGGATTTCAAGAGTCCAAGTCATACGTCAGTATTCTCCTAAATCCCTCATGGTATCATCTGCAATTGCAATATATTTATTTTTTAAAGATTTAAAGCATGGTTTCTTTTTCACACATAGGTTTTACGTAAGTAAGTGAGGAGAAAAGGGAATGATAAGAGCATCAAATACAATTTCCACAAGGAGTTGGTCTGTAATCTAAAAGCTTCTGCGGATAGATACATACATCTTTTTTCCTCTTCTCTATCAATTGCCCATCAGCTCAACCCTTTCTGAGTTCCAGAGATAATTTTCTTCCATCTCTAAAAGTCTGAGGAAGACTCAGACACTGTCTTGATCCACCCTTTCTTTCCACTATAAAGAAGAGTTTTCAAGCAGGAAGTGATAGCAAGTGCTACCCTGAAGCCCCCAAAAGTAGGGGCATCTGCTGCTCCTGCCTCCCACGTCTCCATACCATAGACTTTTCCTTCCAATGTTCCCTGAAACCAGTGAGGGCCAACACTTTCAGTGGGTCTTTAGTGGGAAGTAGCCAGCGAGAAGTCTGCGCCTCCCACCTGCAATCTTTAATGCAGCAAAGCCCGTTTATCCAGCACAGTGGATTTTAGCTTCCTTTCTTACCTAAAAGGTGGACTATATACTCCTCTGCATATCACCTATCTGACAGTTACTTGCCTTAGCAGTGATAGGAAGGAAATTCCTAGAGGCATTACTGTAATAAGCCAGAGTTCACACAAAGATCATCCAACCATAATATTGAGGGACAGTTTGCAGATAAAACAGAAATAAAATGGAAATAAACCTTTAGGGGCCTTAAAATGCAAGACTAAAATTTTCAAATTTTCACTTACACTTCTATGTAATTATGAGGTATGAAAATATTGAAGTGAAAATAATAATACCCAGAGGTGATATGGATATCTGAAAGTCAAGCAAGTTATTCAATGCTGAAGTAGAGCGAAGGTGTTGTTTAACTTTTTATCAAGAATATCAGCATTTTTTTCTTTGGTTGTATTTACCTTAAATCTTTTGTTTAGTTGATCCTTCCATTTTTCAACTAGACATCCATCAAGAAGCATCAACCTGAAAATTAAGAAATAAATATAGATATTTCTGGTTTAGATTCCCAAGATGCCATTCCAGATGATTTAACACAGACCGAGGTTGAAATGCACCAGCAGGTACTGGTACTGACAGTTTCTCAGTATGGGATGATAGGCAGAAAAATATTTTTCTCCATGCCTAAATGCTTTCTAATGGATTTCTATAGGCTTATACTGATATTTCTGAAATCCTATTCTGAACTCTGTAAAAACAGAATACAGTTTTCAAAAGAAATCAGATTTTACAGCCAAATCTGCAGCTTATAGCCAGTGTTGAGAAAACATTTGAGCCCTTTGTCCTCACCTGCAGCTATTCTGCAGGGGGAAATTGTCCTGTCTTGATCACTGTTAACAAAAAGTGATGGGTTGGGTAACATCCCATGAAACTGTTCAAAGGTATATGTACATGTATTTTTACTTATGCCCACTATATATTTCTCTGTGTGTTTGTGTGCAGAAGAGTAGTTGAAAGAAATGTAATTTACTTCTGAATTTTAAAAAAGCTGTTTCACATGCACCAGTTAATACAGCTTAGCTGACGAATGGTAACACCTTACCTGATCACTTACAATCTTCTCCATTTCTACCTATAAATACATGAGGACAGTATTATGGATTTCCTACATGTAACTACTTAATGAGTGCTTTAAAGTGAATTTGGAAATTTTTTTTTTTTTTTTTTAAAATACTGGGCCTTAATATGCCCTAATATCGTTTCCCTAATTCTGGAAGGTTTTACTTAGACATCAGTGTTGGCTGGAGACATCAAAACATCATTATGTATGCACACAATTTCATACAGCACTTTGCTGGCGAGTGAGATTTACACACCATAGCAGGGCCTGGCCTGCAGTTTCCATGAACAGTGTTGCTGCTCATACCAGTTCAAAAAGAGTACAAAATGCTGCCCCTCGTAGCCATTAGCCACTGTGCATCCACTTTGCCCAAACATAAAAGGACTACAATGAGTGCAAGCCCTGGAGAATCAAGACCAACATGACACACACCTCATTTTCTTTCCCAGGAGAGATTAGGTAATTAACATATAGGATTGAAGCTAAGGCCACATCATGATGAATGAAACCACAACACAGTGTGCATCTGATGCAGCTTCTGTTTGGGGCAAATAATGGAGCAAGACCCTAACCCTGCTGATGGGCAATGGGTGTTTTGCCATTGACTTCAGTGGAGATACAGCTTCCACCCGTTTTGCTTCTGGCATTTTTAAAAGCTGCTGTAACTCAAAACCTTCTGTTTGCATGCCACTGAGTTCAACAGGAAACACATATAATAGTTTATGTTTCTTTTTCAAATCCATTTTAGTACACTATATGAAATTAAAAACCTCAGTGGCCTTTAGAACCCATCACAAAATATTTAGTGAATGGTGTGTTTTTCCATAGTAATGGAGAAGCAGATTGCAATCTTTCACTTTTGAAATCTCCCCTCCCTGACAGCCTCCTGAGGGTCCTGTCCAACAAAGCTCTGCAGGTCAGAGCTCCTCAATTGCAATCTTGGCCGTGGTCCTTCTGTGTGACTCAGAGCATGTGTCCCTAAAATGGCTAACACAAAGTAGAGGGCTCTAAATTAATCTTTGTGAAATATTTCCAGACCTGGAGGAGCAAGGTGCCATGTAATAATAAAACACTGTGCCTGCTGGCTCACAAAAAAAGGGTAAGGTAATAAGGTATCAGATATAGAAACACCTATAAAACATATATCAACATAAAACTCACTGAAAATATAGATATGGCCCATCAAGTTCCACACGTAGGTGTTCTATGGTCCTCAACAAGTGCGCATGATCAATTAACAGTCACATCACTGTGTGCAAAACCAGCCTGCACATTTTACGAACCTGCCTTACCTCTGACCCACGGCACACAGGCACATGTACCCACCATGCCACAACCCGTCCTGTTGCCATCTGTTGCTGCTGGTACATTTGGGGTGCTAACGGGGACGAGATGTCCCCTTCTGCCTCAGGGACACAGAGAGAAAAGGGAGCTGTGATTCATCACTCCCTCCCCTCCAGACCAGCATGCTGGATTTCCTTCCACGCCTGGGGCTAGGCTGACTGCCAGATGAAAGGTCTGGTAAAGTTAGTTTTGTTTTGCCTTTTAATCATACAGCAGGACTGGCAAGCTGCTCTGAGAGTATTTACTTTTCATCTGCCATGCGGGAGCCGGAGCTCCAATGGCTGCAGCTTTGGCTGGTCCCAGTACAGCTGTGGGATCAGAAACATCTCACCAATGGCACCCGTCCGAAGTATGGATAGGCCAGCAGAGAAAGCCTGGCTCTGTCTCCAGCAGCTCTGCAGACAGATGTGTATCATCTCTTATCCCCTCGCCAGAGGGGTCGGTTAGGCAGAACTGTGTCTTCCATGTGGTCCTGCCACTATGGACCACCACCTACAGCCACCATCGAGCTTGTAGCATGTGAAGCAGCTCATGCTGATGGAAAGTGGTCCTGGAAAAACACTCCCAAAAAGGCCGGAGATGCCTGAACTGCTGCATGATGCATTAAGCAATACGCTGCCAGCACCCAATGCCACCAGAGTTTATGCTCCACGTGTGAGCCAGGTTTTGTAAACACTGCATCGTGATGCAGAGCTGAGGCTGATTAAGTGGAAAAAGTTAATTGCGAAGGTAATTGAAACATGTAGGTGTACATGTGAGTTATCTTAAGAAAAACTATCAGCAGTGTAATATTAACTATAACTCACAAAACATGCTCGTGACCAGAAAGAGAGCTCCTTCCCGTCTATCACAGCTAGCTATAACACTTTTCTGCACCGCATCGCCCAGGCTTACCTTGAGCGCCATTCATAGCACATGATGAGAACATCCTGCTTCGGTTGGAGAGGTGGACACTGGCAGGAGGAATTTGTAAGAAGAGGCACTTGAGACAGAGGAATTGATGTCGAAGACTTAAGTATGTCTTTGACTTCAACCACAGTCGTTATCTCGTTGCAGTTCCCTCTTTCTATGCTTTTTACTTTAGCGTGAATGACTGCGATTAGAAAAAGAGAGGTGTGAGAACAACAAACGGTCTTAGAAATTTAAACACATCTCAAAATTAAAGAAAATATATTAAATTGAAAGCTGTTGTTTCGGCTGTGAAACCAGAATTACTGCTTCATGTGAGGGCACGTACAGTGGCTTAGAATAATAGAGGCCCGATCCTGATTTGGTTTTCAGTCAGACTGTTGACAGCTGTGAAATTAAACATGTGCTTAAATCTTTGCCAGATCAGGCCAAGCAATCTCGCCTGGAATCGCACATACTAACAGCTTCTTTGACTCAGACTTGAACAACCCTCGCATAAATCGGACCCGCTCTATAGCCACCTCGGCCCTTTTCCATTTAAGTAATGAATAATTTACCTCACAGACAGCTAACATGAATTCAGTCTTCTCAATAATAAAATCATTTCCCTGTAGGTTGCATCCAGGAACTAAAGTCTTTTCTTAAATATAAGAAGGGAAGGTTTGAAACAAGTACTCAAAAACTAAGAGGCTTAGGATTGTGATTTGCTCGGTCTATACATTTTTCATCTTTTGCCTTTGGATTAGTCATCATTAGTAAGATCCTCATACAAAACAGACTCCAAAATGGGTTCTTCTGACTCTGAATACACAAACATTCATATCTTTACCTTTTATTGAGGAATACTGCATGTCTGCATGGATGCAAGAAGGTGAAACTGTGTAGATTGCTCTAAGGATGAGCTCCCTACCTAACTCTGTACCTGTGAACCCTGGCAGTACCTACCCCCGCAGCATTTCACCCCTTCTTCCTTGTGAGAAGTACCAAATCAGAGAAATGAAGCATGTTTTTTTACACAAAGGACTTTGTCTCTAGGAAATGTCAAAATAGGAACGGTCCTGTTATCACAAAATTCTTGAGTGGAAGAAGCGTCAGAAGTGTATGTACCACAGGGTGACCAGCCTGCATTGACGCTGCCCCTGGCAGCCACAAGGTCAAAAGCCTTCAAATGGACCTACAAAAGCTTGGAATAAACTTCACTCGTAGAAAACAGGAGACCAGCAATTTTAATGCTGTCTGGGTTTTATGTGCTAACTTTATCAGGACATGTGTAACAGCCACAAAACACGTGAGGGATTTCAGTTTTGGAGACTCACAATGCATTTTCAAGTCTAATTGAAACCAAGTTCTGGCCAGCTAGAAAAGCAATTCGGCTGTATATATTATTTTTAAAGGATTTCAGAAAAAAGTGGATTTTATTTGCGACTTGTTCTGCCTTGCCTTGTCTCTGAATTCATTTTCCATATGAGCATGTCCATTTGTTTCAGAGGAGGCTGAATAAAAATCTACGTCTCAAAAACAAAATCTTCATTTCACAAAGTCAATTGAATTAAATTTTGGATCCCAACCTACAGTTTTTATTCAAGCAACACTCCCACTGAAGTCACTGGAATCAGAATTTATATGACTAACACCTGTATTTCGTTTCATAGTCATTCAAAATGAATAGTCATTTTATATCACCGCTTTTTCATACATTTCAGACAAGTGTGGAAGTTCATTGTCCCACCTGGACATATCACTATATTCTCCTGAGATAGATTAAGGAATTATATAGAAGAAATATATGATATAAATGCACCAAAATGCCATAACAGAAAAAGTGTACAATTACCGAAGTTAGATGTTCAGCTTGATTATTCCCACCTAACTGGGGTCTGGATTTTTTTCCCTATACTAACAAAGAAGCAAATAACTACAAACTTGCTTTCATTTGATATCAGACAGAGAGGAATTGACTGGATATAATAACCCTATTACATAAGAACTCAATACATTCCTTGAAGAAACAACTTTTATCTGAGAAAAAGCCCATAAATTTCAAAAGACCAGAAGACTGCATGCTAAATTCATGGTTAATAGGGGATTTCTATTGACATTACAGATATTTAATCTGGTATTTTTCTAATGTTAATTAGACTTCTTCCTGGCTCCCAGCATCAGAAAACCAGAGCGGGGGGAGCCAGGGGAGAAGAGGGGTGAATGCTTACTTATATTGCCAATAAGCCATGCAACATACCATAAAACTATCAGCCAACTCCTCAGCCAGCTGGTGCAAATTGTCACTGAATTCAGTTAATCTCTGACAATTCCGCACCACATGAAACTCTGGCTAGTAAGTAAAAGAATATAGGAATTTCTAGTAATAACTTTTTACCTTGCTTCAGCTTCGTTCACATTTACAAGTTTTGTTTAGGTGATAAACCTTTGTTTATTCCACCTGCTACATGAAAACCGGAGCTGGCCAAGCAGCACATGGTCATGCTTACATCTCTGCACTTACTAGAGGGACCTTTGCAGTAGCAAGCACCCTTTCTGCAGAGCGACCTGTTGATGCCAGTGCACATTACCGACATTTCACTGCTTTTATAAGAAACACACCATCACCTACGCAATGACTGCTACCGCCTGCGCAAGGTGTGCGTGAGTGGCAGGTTTGGGAAGAGGACAGCTGGGTGTCCTCGGGCAAAAACCCACTTGGAAAGGCTGCGCTGGAGCAGTGTCCTCACGCTGCACTTGCTGGACGGGGCCTGGTGTGGGTGCAGCACCCAGCTGGAGCTGCCAAACTTGCGGGGGGGG